TCCAAGACGGCCCAAGAGGGCCCCAAGAACGCTTCAAGAACGCCCCAAGAGGGGGCTCACGAAACAGAATTTCGAGCTCTCGGCCCTCCCCCGGCTCGAACGGCCCCACAGCGGGATACCACGGGTAACACGACCCCACGATGGCACCAAAGCCGTCAAAAAACTGCAAACACCTAGAAGCCCCATGAAAAAACAACAACAAATTCATCGACAACTACACAGCTCCCGACGCCGCAGCTCCACACTGCAAACGACCACTCGGACAGGCGACCACGGTGCGACATTATGGGCCGGCGGAATGAGCGAAGCGATTAAATCTAACCAGATCTTCACAGATTGAGGGCGGCTCCTTTTCAAAATGTGGCTATCGCGTTAGCGCCGCGCACATTTACTCATAAAACTTGCAAAAGTTTCACGGAATCCCAAGATCAACGCAACAGTCAGGTTGATCCATGGCGTTAGAATCCCGAGAACAATGTTTTGACATGCTTCTGGGTCTGCAAACGGTTGTCCCCCAACGAGGCACTTCCCTCAATGGACATGAACCGCTGCAGGGGCATAGGAAGAGGGAGCTTGGAGGGAGGGTTCATTCCAATATCGTTGATGCCTCTTGGGTTTACTCTGGTCCTCATCCTTCTCCTTCTCCTCCTCAATCTCCTCCTCCTCCTCCTCCTCCTTCTCCTTCTCCCCCAACCTCCTCCTTTTCCCCAACCTCCTCCTCCTCCTCCTCCTCCTCTTCCTCCTCCTCCTCCTCCTCCTCCTCCTCCTCCTCCTCCTCCGGCTCCTCCTCCTCCTCCTCCTCCTCCTCCTCCTCCTCCTCGTCCTCCTCCATTCCTGTCCTTATAAATAACTTCTCCCTGTCGCACCCCGAGGCCAGTTTTTAGAGCGGGCTGGGCATTTCGCCTGAGACTTCTTCACCATTTATGACTCTGAAGCTGAAAATTGGCAACAGTTTCACGGATGGAGAGCGGGTCGTTTTCAAAATGTGGCTCTCGCCTGAGCGCCGCGCACATTCGTTTGAGCAGTGCGAGAGCTTCACGGATTGAAGGCGGTTCCTTTTCAAATTGTGGCTCGCGCCTTAGCGCAGCGCGCATTTGTTTATGAATCTAACCAGATCTTCACGGATTGAGGGCGGCTCCTTTTCAAAATGTGGCTATCGCGTTAGCGCCGCGTACATGTGTTCATAAAACTTGCGAGAGTTTCACGGAATCCCAAGGTCAACGCACGCGTTCTGGAAATATTCAAAATTATGCGGGCGCAACGGGTACGTTGATTCGCGGTGGAATTCCCAGGAGTGGCGTTCTGGCTCGCACCCCGAGGCCAGTTTGTAGAGCGGGCTGGGCATTTCGCCTGAGACTTCCTCACCATTTATGACTCTGAATCTGAAATTTGGCAACAGCTTCACGGATGGAGAGCGGGTCGTTTTCAAAATGTGGCTCTCGCCTGAGCGCCGCGCACATTCGTGCTAACAATTTGCGAAAGCTTCACGGATTGAAGGCGGTTCCTCGCCTTAGCGCCGAGCGCATTCGGTTATAAATCTAACAAGATCTTCACGGATTGAGGGCGGTTCCTTTTCAAAATGTGGCTATCGCGTTAGCGCCGCGCACATTTGTTCATACAACTTGCAAGAGTTGCACGGAATCCCAAGATCAACGCACGCGTTCGGAAAATATTCCAGATTATGCGGGTGTAACAGGTACGTTGGTTCGCGGTGGAATTCCCAGGGGTGGCGTTCTGGCACGATTCAGGATCGTCAAGACGCAACAGTCAAGTTGATCCGCGGCGTTGGAATCCCGAGAACAATGTTTTGACATGCTTCCGGGTCTGCAAGCGGTTGTCTCCCAACGAGGCAGTTCCCTCAATGGAAATCAACCGCTGTAGGGGCATAGGAAGAGGGAGCTTGGAGGGAGGGTTTATTCCAACATCGTTGATGCCTCTTGGGTTTACACTGGTCCTCCTCCTCCTCCTTCTCCTCCTCCTCCTCCTCCTCCTCCTCCTCCTCCTTCTCCCCCAACCTCCTGCTTCTCCCCCAACAACCTCCTCCTCCTCCTTCTCCTCCTCCTCCTCCTCCTCCTCCTCCTCCTCCTCCTCTCCTCCCCGAACCTCCTCCTTCTCCCCCTCCTCCTCCTCCTCCTCCTCCTCCTCCTCCTCCTCCTCCTCCTCCTCCTCCTCCCTCCACCTCGGGAGGGGCCCCCTCGGGCCACGGAGGCGCCGGCAGCAGCACGCGGGCTGCGCCCGCGCAGGCAGAGGCAGGCGAACGGGCAACGATGCAGACACGAAAGCTCAATCCAGGCTCCGCGCGGGCCCCCCCAAAGAGGCCCCAAACAGGCCGAGAGGCCCCCAGGAGACCCCAGGATGCCCCCGAGAGGCCCCCAAGAGGCCCCCAAGAGGCCTCCAAGAGGCCCCAAGAAGACCCCGAGGGGCACCAAGAAGGCCCCCTGGAGGCCTCCAAGAGGCCCCAAAGAGGCCTCCAAACTGACTCTGGGAGGCCCTCGGGAGGCCCCCCACGAGATCCCAACGAGCATCAAAAAGAATGGGCTTCATAACCACAACCCAAGCAGAGTGGCGAGATGGGCCGAGAGCCCTGATATAAACTGAAAAACTCAGAGGGCCGCGCGGGTTCCTCCGATCGGCGCTGGGGCCCCCTGGCGGCGCCTCCGGCGCCGCCCCTGGAACTCCGCGCGGCCTACGATTTCTTGTGTTTATGTCATTGCCCGTTCCCCGAAGAGGACCAGCTAGAGCTGTGAGACATCGTATGGCTCCCGTGCTCGGGTGGGCGAAGGAACGGCCGAATGAAAGCATGAGCCGACCGTAACGAAACGAACGACAAATGAGCCGAAACGAAAAACGATCGATGCTGATGTTACTCATGGGATCGAGCGGGATGACGAGAACGAGACGAACGGATGAACGGGTGCTCACGTCAGCCCAAAAGCCTCATCTTGGAGGCCGCTTGGGGGTCTGAACTGGTTGGGACCCCATAGAATCACCTTGGAGGGGGGATGAAGCCAAATCCGCTCAAAACCAATCTCTCGACCCCTCCCGGGGTAGATCTGGTCAATTCTTCACCCCAGATCCGTTTCTCACGGTTCTGGTGCCCGAGAACGGGCCCTGAAGGCCGAAAACGACAAAAAACCTTCCGGAACCCAACCTCGAACCTGCCTGCCCTGCCGGCCGGAGCCAGTGCTGGGCAGCCGCAGAGCCCCCGGACGGCTTCAGTGCTCACGTCATCCCAACGCCTCATCGGCGTTTCCCATCGCCGTCCAGAAGTGGTCCACAAGTGGCCCCACAGTGCCCTCATGTTTGCCCACACAAGTGACCCTGCAGTGACTTCAACTGTGGCCCAACAAGTGGCCTCACCGTGCCCCCACTTGTGCCCCCACCAGTGCCCCCACTGGTGGCCCCCCTGGTGGCCCCACAGGGGGCCTCACAGTGCCCTCTGCGGGGCACCGCCCCTCCAAAACGCATGCTGTCAGACCGAGGGCCCTCCTCGGGGCGGTCGGTCCGAGTCCTGACTCGCCTTCGGAGCCAGAGCGTGCCCGGAGGCCTGTCTGAGGAGGGAGAACGAAGGGAGCTTCGAGACTCAAAGATCAAGAATCGACGTTTTGGATGCGCGCTGCTCCCTCCTCTGTCCTCCAAAGATGCCCCTGGAAGCCTCTGGGGACCTCTGGGACCTCCAGGGGGCAGGGTCACCCGAAGGCGGCACCAAGGCGGTCCCTGCGAGATGGCTCAAGACGGCTTCTCGCCATCGCTTGGACGTTCATCCCCCCTGCGCTTTGCGGCTTCGTGCGCGCATCTTTTCGCAAAACGATCCAAAAAGCTCCTCGATGGTCCTCGCCACGAGTAAATGCACACGTCCGAGCGATGCCAAGGCTTCAAGATGGCCCCCGCACGGCCCCCGGAGGGTCCCGGGACGCCCTGAAACGGCCCCAAGACCTAGAACGGGCTGCCATGGCGCCCCTGCGCCCCTGGCGGCCAAAAAAAAAACAGCGGAAAGCGTTATATGAAATCTTGGCAGCCAAACTCATCATTTTACAAAAAGTCCACGACAACCCAGGCTGCGCTAGGCTCTTTCCGAGTGGTGGAAGGTGCCCTCGGGGAAGCCTCAGGACGGATCCCAGATAGCCCAAGGAAGCCCCAAATCGACCCCAAGACTGGCCCGAGGCATCTCAAAGGCAGCACGAAACATTCCCCAGACAGCAAAACCTCCCAGACGGCCGCAATATCCCCCAAGACAGCACCGATACCCTGAAAAGGCTCACAACATGACATCAAGAGAAGCCCATCGGGCCCACCCAAAACTTAACAACTGACCTCTGAGAGGCGAAAAACTGCCAGAGTTTTGCGGAAGTGCTGGCCAATGCCCGTGCCCATGCCTTTGCCCATGCCTGGGCCCAAGAGACTGGGACGGCGGAAAGCCTGAAGAAGAGCTTCACGCGCAGGCCCCGCGAGGATGCCCGAGCACAAAGTCCAACTCGCCCAGCTGCCAGAGGGTGCTTAGACTTCGAGCGCGACTGCGCGCACTGCACCCCCGAGGACTGTTCGCACCCGCGTCGCGACCTCCGAGCCTACTCAGCCGAAGCTGGCGCAAGGAGCGCGACTGCCGTCGCCGACGTCGCCTGCCGCCGCCGCCGCCGCATCTGTCTGACGCTGCAGCAGTCGCCGTCGTCGCCCGCCGTCGCCCAACGTCGCCCGCCGTCGCCCGCCGCCCGCCGCTGCGGCCGACGCCGCCACCTGTCGCCGCCCGCCGCCGCCCGCCGCCGCCCGCCGCAGCCTGCCGCCGCCTGCTGGAGCTGGCGGCGCGGGGGGCGCCGAGGTCGAGAGGCGGCGCGCCGCACTGGCGGCCGCGCCGCCGAGGCCGATGGCGGCCGTCTGCCCCGGCGCCTGGGGCCGCGGAGGGCCGCAGGGAGCGCCTGCGCTCGCGCGCTGGAGCGCCCGCTCGCTCACGCCCTGTGCCGGCACGGCGAAGCCGAAGAGGCCGCGGGCGCGCGGAGCGCCACCCACACGTCGCCGCGCCTGGCGGCGGAGGCGCCCGCGGCGGTCACGAGCTCCCAGGCGGCCTCGTCGCCGTCGCCCAGCTCGAGGTCCAGCCGCTCGGAGCTGCCCTCGGGCTCCAGGTCCAGGGCGCGCCCGCTGCCGCAGGAGCTGCCGCCGCCGACCCACAGGCAGCCCGCCACCGCCGCTGCGAACGACCCCATGCGCCGCAGGCGCATGCCCGGAGCGGCCTCCCAGCGGCAGGCTCCCGGGAGCAGCACCTCCACCGTGGGCTCCACGCCGCGGACACTCTCCCCGCCGCAGGCGTACAGGCCCCCGGCCGCCGCCGCGGCCGCCGCGCGGAAGCGCCGCCTCGCCATGGGCGGCTCGGGCCGCCAGGAGCCGTGGTGGCCGAGGCTCTCTGAGGTGTCGAGGTTGACCCTGGAGCCCCACTCGTCGCCCATGCCCCCGCACACGAAGATCGGCGGCGAGCCCGGGAGGAAGCGACAGGGGGCGGGCCTTCTCGGGAGGCTCGGCAACCTCTTGGAAGGCCGGAGCGCTTCTGAGCAGTGCCGCCACCTCCTGAGCAGGCCCTCTCCTCCTCACTTCCCCTCCTCGCTCGCCGCCGAGAAGAGGCGCCCGCAGAACACGGCGGCCGCGGCGCCGGCCCGCGCCTGCCGCATGGGGGGCAGCGCCTCCCAGGCGCCGGTTGCGGGGTCCAACCACTCCGCTGAGGCCGTGCACGGGTTCATGCCCCCGCACACGCAGAGCCGGCCCTCCAGGGCGCCGGCGGCCGCCAGTCGGCGGCGAGCGAGGGGGGGAAGTGAGGAGGAGGGGGCCTTCTCAGAAGCCTTCGAAGGCGGCGGCACTTCTCAGAAGGCCTCGCGCCTTCCGAGAGGCTCTCTCTGCCTGCAGGGAGGGCTATAGGCTACAAGGAAGCTCCTCCGAAGATCGGGGGACCTCCGAGCCTTCTGAGGAGGCCTCCTGCCTCTCACGTCCCCCCCTCGCCCGCCGCCGAGCCAGCACGCGCGGCTCGCGCATGTCGGGCATCCGCTCCCAGCGCCCGGCCGCGGCGTCGAAGCGCTCGACGCTGCGCAGGGGGGCGGCGCCGTCGCCGGCCCCCCCGCAGACGTAGAGGCAGCCGGACACCGCCGCGCCCGCGGCCCAGGCGCGCCCGTGGGCCATCGGCGGCGCGGGGTCCCACCGGCCGGCGCGCGGGTCGAGGACCTCGGCGCGCACGAGCGCAGAGCCTCCGGCTCCGCCCGCGCCGACGCCCCCGCAGGAGGGCTCGGCGGCGCGCACGAGGGGGCGGGGCCTCGGGGGTCGGGGGCCCGTCTAGGAAAGGGCCCAGGGGTACACCAGTGCACTCTGTAGACACGAGTCCCAGGATCCCCCCATGTTGTCCAATGTGCTCTGGGTCTTCGTCTTCCCCCCCCCCCCACTTCCCATATACACACACATATATATACTAGAACCATCGCGCGCTTCGCGCGCGCTCAAGATCTAGCTGGGATCCTCGTAATCGTCACCATCGCCATCCTCATCGCCAGCATCATCATCGTCATCGTCATCGACATCCCGTCGTCGTCGTCGTAGTCATCATCACCATCGTCATCGTCATCGCCATCATCGTCGTCGCCTTCGTCGTCGTCGTCCTCGCCCTCAGCATCCCTCTCCAAGACCGAGCGTCTTGGTAACTGGGGTTGTGGACCTGAGGCCGCCATGCCTGGGTGATGGGCCAGTGGCCTGCTGGATGCCTGTTCGGATATGGGTGGTGGAAGTTTTTCGGAGGCCTCTTGGAGAGCTCTAGGGGGGCTCTTGGGTACTTCGTGGTTGCGTCTTGGGGCCCCTTTGGAGTCTCCTGGGGGCCTCTTGGAAGCCTCTTGGGGCTTCCTGGGGGCCTGACCGCAGGGGGCTTCCCTATGGGCCCCTTGGGGGCCTCTTGGGGCTTCTGGGGGACCTCTTGGGAGCCTCACAGGGCTTCTTGGGAGCCTCTTGATGGCCTCCGGGGGCGTCCTACAGGAGCCTCTCAGGCCGGAGACCTTGAAATGTCGCGCTCTTCGGGCCCTCTTGGGTTGCTCTTGGGGCTCTTTTGGGGCGCTCTCGAGACCCTCTTGAATTATCTGGGGAGCCTCCTGGGCCGTCTCTGGGCTTTCTTGGGAGTCTCTTCGGCCGTCTCGGAGCGATCTGAAGGGCCTCTGACGCCGTCCAGGACCGTGGGGAGGCGGAACATGCGAGAGCGCAAAAATGCTTCAAAAACCAGCGGAAATATATACATATATATATATGATTTTCGGCTTCTGGGGCCCGTTGGAGGGGCCTCTGGAGGCGCTCTTGGGGAGTTTTGGCGGCGTCGTCGGCCGTCCTGAGGCCATCTTCGGCGTGTCCGGGGCCTCTTGGGGCTCTTGGCAATCTTTAGGGCCCTCTTGGTGTGTCGTGGCGTGTTTGGGAGCTGGCCAGGGCAGTCCCGGGAGCACTGGGACCCCCCCAATGCACCCATGGGGGGGTACGGCACCGGCTCGGGCACCCACCCCCCTGGCCTACTCCGAGAGAGAGAGAGAGGAACGAGAGAGAGAGAGAGGAGAGAGAGAGAGGAGAGAGAGGAGAGAGAGAGAGAGACGGATATATGTATATGTATATATATATGTATATATATATATACATATATATATATATATATATATATATAAATACACACATGGGGAAAAAGCACCAGCATGGCCCGTGGGATCTGTTTGTCGTGCACCTGTGACATGCATCTTGGGAGCCCTTCGAAAACTTCTGGCGGCGTCTTGGGGGCCTCCGGGGCGCTTCTTGGAGTCTCCTAGGGGCTTTTGGGGGCCGAAGGCCCGAAAAGTCCATTCGGATTCCCTGTCTGGGCCCCTTCTTAGAGCCGTCTTGGGGCTATCTTGGACCGTCTTGGAGGCCTCGTGGGCTGCTTGGGTCCCTCTCGGGTTGTCTTGGCGCCGTCTTGGGAGCCTCTTGGGCCGTCTATGGGCGATCTCAAAAGCTTATTCGGTTATCTTGGAGCGTCGGGAAGCCGAAAAGGTGAGAACCACAAGAAAACATCAAAAACCATCGAACAACAACAATTGTTTGCCTCTCGTGGCCCTCTTGAAAAAGCCTCTTGAAGGCCTCTTGGGGCGTCTTGGAAGCCTCTTGGGCCGTCTAGGGACTATCTTGAGCGTCTTGGACCGATCTTGTGGCGTCTCGGAGCCCTCATGGACATCTTGGGTCGTTCCTGGGGCCGTCTTGGAGGCCTCCTGGAGGCCTCCTGGGCCGTCTGGAGGCCCCTTGGAGGCGCCAGGGCGGGGGTATTAAAAAAGGGGGCCCGATGGTTTTGAGGTGGGCGGTGCCCCGGGGCTGGGGACCTGGTATTCATCCATATATATTGATATGTATATATATATATATAGAGAGAGAGAGTTCATGCTAGGGTCATGATCATCGTCATCATTGTCATCCTCATCCCCGTCATCTTCATCGTCATCGTCATAGTCATGGTCACCTTCACCATCACCATCACAACAATCATCATTATCACCATTATCATCAGCATCGTGCTCACCATCGCCATCATCGTCATCGTACTTTTCAGCAGCAGCATCCGCATCATCAACATACTGTTGGTCGTCATCGGTATAGTCATCGTCATCATCATCAGCGTCATCGCCGTCATCATTCCCGGTCCACTGCAGTCCCCCTACCCTCCTCCTCTTCCCGTTCTCCCTCTTCCCATCATCTGATACTCATCCTTTTCCTCGTCGGCGTCTCTCTGAAAGGGATCCCTGTGCCTTCACCTCCTCCTCCTCCTCCTCTTCCTTCTCCTTCTCCTCCCCCCTTCCCTGTCTTCCCCGCTTCCGTGTGTCCCTCCTTGTGTTCCTTCACCTACTTCACCTCCTTCCTCCTCTCGAGCCCTCTTCATCCTGCGCACCCCTTCCCTCCTCGTCCTCAGCAGCCCTCCCCGAGCCAGAGAATCAGAGAACAAGATGATCTTACGGGAACCATGTCCCTCCTCGTCTTCCCCTCCTCTTCCCCCTCTTCGTCCTCCTGATCTTCCTCTCCCTCCTCCTACTCCTCCTCCTCCTGCTCCTCCTCCTCCTCCTCCTCCTCCTCCTCCTCCTCCTCCTTGTCCTCTTCCTCCTCCTCCTCGCTTCTCTCAACGCACCCAGTACACGGGTGACTAACAGAACGCGTGCCGGGAGCCTTTTTGGAAGCATTGTGGCAGTCTCTGGAGCCTCTCCGGGCCTTCCTTTGGAGTCCTTTGGGGCCTGTGTTGGCCCGTCTGAGGGCCCATTTCGGCCGTTCCCGGTCCCTCTTGGCTCGTCGTGGGGAGCTCAACCCGTCTTGGGGCCCTCCTGGGGCCCTCTCCGACCATGTAGGGATCCTCTGGTGGCCCCCTCGAGCTTCCTGGGGGCTCTCTTGGGCCGTCTTGTAGCTCTTTTGTACCGCTTGAAGCTCTCTTCAGCCCATCTTGGAACCCACTTTGGGGCCTCTGGGGCCGTCGGGCTACCATTTTGGTAACCTCTTAGGCCGTCGCGACCGCTGGTAGAACTGAAAAGCGAAGCTCCCAGAAATACACGTTGATTTTTGCCTTTGGAGGACCTTCTCAGCGGCCTCTTGGACAGTCGTGGGGGTGTCATTTAGGGGCCTTTTGTCCCCCATCTGGGAGCCCATTTCGGCTGTCCCAAGCCCCTCTTGGCATGTTCATGGGTAGCTGAGCCGTCTTGGGTCCCTCATGGAGCCCTCTCCGACCATGTAGGGATCCTCTGGTGGCTCTCTCGGCCCCCTGGGACTCTCTCGGGCTGTTTGGGAGCTCTCTTGTGCTGCTCAGCGCTCTCTTGAAGCTGTCTTGGAGCCCTCTTGGGGGCCTCGTGGACCGTGTGGCGCCAATTTGGGGAGCCTTTGGGGCCGACGTAGCCGTCGATGGAAAATAAGAAGCGAATATCATTGAAATGAAAGTTCTTCCATGGGAAATGCTCGTTTTTTGTACCTGGGAGCCTTCTCAGCGGCCTCCTGGACCGTC